AAATATATATATATATATATATTTATTATATATATATAATATATATATATATTTATGAGGGGCAATGCAGAAAGATATGCAGCAAATTAAAAACAAATAAATATATAAGCAGAAGACGTAAATAAATAAAATAAATAAATTAAATACAAACAGATGGATAAATAAATAATATAAAATAAATAAATTAAATAAACAACAACAGGCTGCGGCAGCAAAAGAAAAAGCAGCAAAAAAGGAGACGAAGAGACACAAAAATAAAGTCTATCCAAAAGCAGCAGCAGCAGCAGCAGCAGCAGCAAGTGCAGCAGCAGCAAGTGCAGCAGCAGCAAGTGCAGCAGCAGCAACTGGAGCAGCAACTGGAGCAGCAACTGGAGCAGTAGCAAGTGCAGCCGCAGCACCAGCAGCAACTGGAGCAGAAACTGCAGCAGCAGCGAGTGCAGCAGCGAGTGCAGCAGCAAGTGCAGCAGCAGCAACTGGAGCAGCAAGTGCAGCAGCAGCAGCAGCAGCAGCAACTGCAGCAGCAGCAACTCACCAATTTGAGTGGTGCATCTTCTCTTTCATCCAAGTACACCCAATTTTCAAGCCTGCAGGAGAAGAACACGAAAATGAATAGGGTTTAGGGTTTAGGGTTTAGGGTTTGAGAGTGTACTTAACGTATCTAAAGCAGATGTTAAGTTGATAGCAATCGTTTAGGGTTTAGGGTTTAGGGTTTACTTGAGGTCTCTATAGCAAAGATTATGTTGATGGGAGTAGCCTAAGGCTTATGACTTTGTTAGGGTTTAGGGTTTATGGTTTAGTTAGGGTTTAGGGTTTAGGGTCTAGGGTTTACTTCAGGTCTATATAACAAAGATTATGTTGATAGCATTAGCCTAGGCTTAGAGGTCTACGGTGTAGCTAGGGTTTAGGGTTTATGATTTAGTTAGGGTCTAGGGTTTATGATTTAGTTAGGGTTTAGGGTTTAGGGTTTAGGGTTTAGGGTTTACTTGAGGTCTCTATGACAGATATTATGTTGGTGGCAGTAGTTGATTGCAGCAAACATTTGTCGCGCAACTTTTGCTGCGTCTCTTTCTTTGTACTTTCGTCGTTGAAGAAGCCTCTCGTATAACTCCTTGCCTGTGCATAACTCCATCACTAGACGGATGCATTTGCTGTTGCTGCTGCTGCTGCTGCTGCTGCTGCTGCTGCTGCTGCTGTTGCTGGTCATAGGAAGGCTGCCTCGTGGGACTGAAAGGCGATTCTCGCTGCTGCTGTTGCTGCTGTTGTTATTGTTATTGTTGTTGTTGTTGCTGCTGCTGCTGCTGCTGCGGTTCCTGCTGCTGCTGCTGCTGCTGTGGCTGTTGCTGCTATTTTCTCCTACACTCCTGCACCTGGTGCTGCTGCTGCTGCTGCTTGCCTCCTCTCCCCGCGTCGCTGCTGCTGCTGCTGCTGCAGCTGCTGCAGCTTCACTTTTCGGAGCAGCATCATCAGCAGCAGCAGCATCAGCAGCAGCAGCAGCAGCAGCATCGGGCGAAGCATCATCATGCGGCGCAGCAGCAGCATCAGCAGCAGCAGAAGGATCATCATGATCAACATCATGATAATCAGCAGCATCAGCAGCAGTAGGAGGTGCAGCAGCAGCAGGAAGTGAAGGAAAGTCTCCAAAGACATCTAACAGCTTAACAATATTAGGATGATCGAGCTGCAGATACACCTCAACTTCATTTAATAATAAAGACGAATGAAAGGCTGTAAAGTTCAAAGTCTTTATCGCAACAAGTCGACCGCTGCTGCGCTGAACCCCCAAACGAACAGCTCCAGATACACCTGAAAGTAGCAGCAATAAACTGCAGCAATTATATTTATTAATATGTATATATATACAAATATATATATATATATATATTTGTATAAATATATATGAATGTATATATATATATATGTATATAAATATATATGTAGATGGAAATCCTAATATAAGCACATCTACATATAATATATATATATATATATGCATGCAAAGATATAAAGATATATATATATATATATAGATATATATATATATATTCATACGCGAATAAGCATGCGTATACACAAAGAGAAGCAAAGAGCAGCAGCAGCAGCAACAGCAGCATCAACAGCAGCAGCAGCAACAGCAGCATCAACAGCATTACCAGCAGCAGCAACAGCAGCACCACTACCACCGCCAGAAGCAGCAACAGCAGCAGCAGAAGCAGCAGCATCAGCAGCACCACCACCACCGTCAGGAGCAGCCTCAGCATCAGCAGCAGCAGCAGCAGCACCGCCAGGAGCAGCAACAGCAGCAGCGGCAGCAGCAGCAGCAACAGCAACAGCAGCAGCAGCATCAGCAGCACCACCATCACCGCCAACAGCAGCAGCAGCAGCAGCAGCAGCATAACAATAATAATACTAATAAATACCTGTTCCTAATACATGATTAGTTAAAGTATAATACTTAGAAAAGAGAGAGTTTGTCTTAATGCGAGAAACAAAGAGGGGACAGCACCACCGCACAGATGTTAAGCGTCGTTCAATCTCTTCTTTTAACTGTCTCCCTCTCTGTAAATAAATAAATAAATAAATAAATAAATAAATATTAATAAATATTAATAAATAAATGTATTATATTGATGTGTATTTATATTTATTTATTTATATTTAGTTTTATTTATTTATTTATTATTTATTTATTTACGAGGTGCTTTTGAACTTCTTCTTTTAATCCCTCGTCTCCTTTCTGTAAATAAATAAATAAATAAATAAATATTTTATTATTTTATAATTATTTTATATTTATTTTATATTTATTTATTTATTTATTTATTTATTATATATATTCGTGCAAAAATGCGGAAGAAAACAGGCGGTTTAGGGTTTAGGGTTTAGGGTTTAGGGTTTAGGGTTTAGGGTTTAGGGTTTAGGGTTTACATCGTCATAACAGGAGCTCCACGAATCCTCTTGTGAATCGCTGCAAGCCTGGTGGTTGCTGCTGCTGCCGTTGTTGAGAGCAGCAGCATTAGGGGAAGCAGCAGCAGCAGCAGCAGGAGAAGCAGCAGCAGCAGCAGCAGGAGAAGCAGCAGCAGCAGCAGCAGCAGCAGGACGCCGGATGCGGGGGCTGCTCCCCAGGTGGAAGAAGTGAGCTCTTTGCTGCGGTGTATGTATATCTCTTAGCTGCTGCTGCAGCATTGGCTGCCTGTGCTGCTGCTGCTGCTGCTGCTGCTGCTGCTGCTGCAGGAACCGCTTAGGCAGTCTCCTCCAAAGGAATGCACGAGGCCCTCTTGCTTTTCTTCCTTCTGCTGCTGCTGTTGCTGCTGCTGCTGTTGCTGCTGCTGCTGTTGCTGCTGGTGGTGTTGCATCCGGGACTGCTGCTGGTGTTGAAGCTGGCTCTGCTGCTGCTGCTGCTGTTGGTGTTGCTGCTGCTGCTGCTGCTGCTGATGCTGTAGGAATCTCTGCAGGTGCTGTAGCAGGGTGTGTTGTTGGAGAGGCAGCACAATCTGCTGCTGCTGAAGGAGGTGCTGCCTGAGTGTTTTCTGCTGCTGCTGCTGCTGCTGCTGCTGCTGGTGCTGCAGCAGCAGCAGCAGCAGTTGCGGGGCTGCATGCAACGCTGCTGCGAGTTGCAGCTGTATGTACACCCGAACGAAATTCTGCTGAGGTGGTGCTGCGGTCTCCCGACCAGTGTTCTTGATGCTGCAGCAGCAGTAGCTGCTGCTGCTGCTGTTGCTGCTGCTGCTGCTGTTGCTGCTGCTGCTGCAGCTTCTCACCCTTTAAGGTTTTGCTGCATGCACTCGTGCTGCTTGAAAGAGGCAAACTGCCTCGAGGCGAAGAATGCTTACACCCCATCCTAAACCCTAAACCCTAAACCCTAAACCCTTGATAATGCAGGCCCGCCGCTACTTGCGACTGCAGAGCCTCAGCTATACAATGGAGGTAAAACCAAATTCAAATGTGGAGCTGCCTGCTTCCGCTGCTGCTGCTGCTGCCGCTGCTGCTGCTGCTGCTGCTGCTGCATGCATGCTGCTGCTGCTGCTGCAGCATCGTAGGCAGATAATAAGCTACTGAGTGAATGAAGGGACGAAATAAAGAAAAAGAATATTAAAAAAAGAGACAAAGGTGCGGAGAAGGTAAGAAGAAGGAGATGAAGGATACACCCAGCAGCAAACCCTAAACCCTCAATATAATTAGGGTTTAGGGTTTAGAGATCAGCGATATGTAGAGAAGAAGAAACAAAAAAAACAGCAAGAAGGAAGGTAAACAAATGCTGCTGCTGCTGCAACTGACTCTGTACTATCAATGGCTGCTGCTGCTGCTGCTGCTGCTACTGCTGGGGCTGCGGCTGCTGCTGCTGTAGCTGCAGCAGCAGCAGCAGCAGCGAACAGACCGGTGGTCTTCTGTAGCTTAAACCCTAAACCACAAACCCTAAACACTAAACCCTAAACCCTAATCTGTAAATACTCCAATATAAACCTCGATTTCGGGGCTGACTAAATGCTATAATCCACCTTAAAACCCTAAACCCTAAACCCTAAACCCTAAACCCTCTGTTCATTTATCTCGAGAATGGATACACACGAGTATGCGGCGGTGTGTATATGCAGCTACATACAGCACACAAACAAATTTTGTTTTTTATTTTATCAGCACAATACCTCTTCTTTATAATAAACATATTTACCTTCTCTTTTTATAAACAGCACTTTGTCTGTCTCTTCATCTCATTATATTATCTCTTCTTTGTTAAGCATAGTGTGTTCGTCTCCTTCTAGGGTTTAGGGTTTAGGGTTTGTTGGTCTCCCTCTAGTGTTGAGGGTTTAGGGTTTGTTGGTCTCCTTCTAGGGTTTAGGGTTTAGGGTTTGTTGGTCTCCCTCTAGTGTTTAGGGTTTGTTCGTCTCCTTTTAGGGTTTAGGGTTTGTTCGTCTCCCTTTAGGGTTTAGAGTTTAGGGTTTGTTGGTGTCCCTCTAGTGTTGAGGGTGTGCCCTCTAGTGTTTTTAGGGTGTAGGGTTTAGGGTTTGTTCGTCTCCCTTTAGGGTTTAGGGTTTAGGGTTTAGGGTTTGCGGTTCGAATCGAATTTGTCTTGACTTTTATAATATATTTTAAATTGCGTTAATTATATAAACAACAGTTTTAAAATCTGTTTACTAATCTGAAGTTTTATTTTTATTTTATTAAGACGTCTGTTATTTCTTTTGTCTTCCTATGCATGCAGATATAATTTGTTGTTTTAAATTGTATATCATCCACCACAAACAAAAAAAAGAAAGAAAAGTGGTTTTAGGGTTTACAGTTTAGGGTTTAGGGTTTAGGGATTAGGGTTATGGTTTAGTGTGTAGGGTTTAGGGCTAGGGGTTTAGGGTTTAGGGTTAGGGGTTTAGGGTTTAGGGTTGGGGATTTAGGGTTTAGGGTTATGGTTTAGTGTTTACGGTTTAGGGTTAGGGGTTTAGGGTTTAGGGTTAGGGGTTTAGGGTTTAGGGTTTAGGGTTTAGGGTTAGGGGGAATCTGAGGCTCAGGCCCGTAATAAACCTTTCTTTAACCTCCAAACCTTTTCTAAACCCTAAACCCTTACTAAACCCTAAACCCTACTGCAAACCCTAAACCCTTCTGCAAACCCTAAACCCTTTCTACTCACTGAACCCTTCTGTAAACCCTAAACCCTCTCCCAAACCCTAAACCGTTTATAAACCCTAAACCCTTTCTATCGCCTAAACCCTTCTGAAAACTTTAAACCCTTTCTAAACCCTAAACCCTTCTGTAAACCCTAAACCCTTTCTAAACCCTAAACCCTCGAGGGTTTGCGTTTATTAGAGGGAAGCAAAGCCAAGATATCTTCGTCTGCAATACCGAGAGAAAATGCAGCGGAGACCTGAAAAATAAAAATAAAAAAATAAATTTAAGATTAAATTAATTAATAAAAAAATAAATAAAATAATATAAAATAATTAAAGATAATATAAATTATATTATATTATATTATATTAAACACAGGTCATAGAAACAAAATAAAAACAAATAAAAACAACAAATCAATATCAATAATAAATAATAAATAATAAATAAATAATAAATAATAAACAAATATAAATAATAAACAACAATAAATATATATATAAATAATAAAATGCAAACTACAAACAAAACACAAAAATAAAAACATTAGAATAAATTTATTAAGTTAAAAAAGACGAAGAAGACGAAAGAGATAAAAATAATATTATTTAGAGAGAAGGAGATAATATACGCCTGACGTAGCCACAGCCCGTTCTTCCGGAAGTCCCTCAACCCTAAACCCTAAACCCTAAACCCTAAACCCTAAACCCTAAAACCTAAACCCTAAACCCTAAACCCTAAACCCTAAACCCTAAACCCTAAACCCTAAACCCTAAAAACCCCAAACGGCAAACGAAACCCTAAACCCTAAACCCTAAACCCTAAACCCTAAACCCTAAACCCTAAACCCTCAACCCTAAACCCTAAACCCTAAACCCTAAACCCTAAACCCTAAAACCTAAACCCTAAACCCTAAACCCTAAACCCTAAACCCTAAACCCTAAACCCTAAACCCTAAATAAACCCTAAACCCTAAACCCTAAACCCTAAACCCTAAACCCTAAACCCTAAACCCTAAACCCTAGACCCTAAACCCAAACCCCTAAACCCTTTCTAAACCCTAATCCCTAAGCCATATACCCTAGACTCAAAGACCTAAACCCTAAACCCTAAACCCTAAACCCTAGACTTACAAGTTGTTTAAGAGGCTGATAAGACAGCTGACGAACGAGAGGATAATGCAATCTTAGAAAGCGCCAGAGGTTTTCTGGGTTGTGTTTGTTTTGTTTATTTTCATTGTTATAAAAATCAGCAAAAGAAGTAATTACCTTTACAAGCTGCATACACACAACGTAAACCCTAAACCCTAAACCCTAAACCCTCGAAGTGGTGCCGCAGCAGCAGTTGTACGACCCTGAAGGGCTTCTGAGTGGTCTCTAGGGTTTAGGGTTTAGAGTTTAAGACTAAGAATTAGGGCTTAGGGATTCAGACCCTGCTGTTGCTGCCAACCAGGCTATACCCAGCTGAGGGTTTAGGGTTTAGGGTTTAGGGTTTAGGGTTTACTTCGCTGGGTCTCTGTAGTCTTCTACCTTCTTGCATCATCTCCCCTAACTTTTTGTCTATTCCTACGAAGAAAGAATTTGCTGCTTCATTCAAATCCCTGAATTAAACAGTCACAATCAAGGGTTTAGGGTTTAGGGTTTAGGGTTTAGGGTTTGTGTACTAAGCATCTGAAAGGCGCTAAGCTTTGGGTTGAGGGTTTAGGGTTTAGGGTTTAGGGTTTCGGAGTGTTTGGATTTGCTTACAGGTCGTCATTAGGGTTTAGGGTCTGTGGTTTAGGGTTTAGGGTTTGTGGTTTAGGGTTTAGGGTTTGAAGAATTGCTGCTGCTGCAGCTGCTGCATTTGCAAGCTCCGCTGTATGAATACTTTTTAGGGTTTTGTTTAATTGAAGAAGGACGAGCAGCACAAGCTCTTTATAAACCCTTCTTATTTGCTCTCTCTCTTCATTATTATTATTATTATTATTATTATTATTATTGTTGTTTAATAAATAAATATATTTATTTAAAGAATATAATATTATACTCAAACTGCGAGAAGAAGGCATACAAATATTAACGTCTAACAAATCACACAAACCATATGAAGGGTTAAAACAAAAAGAAGATAAAGAATTATAATTATAATTATAATTATAAGAAGAAGAAGAAGAAGAAGAAGAAGAAGAAGAAATTAATTTGTTTAAACCCCGCAAACGACAAACAAACTCCTCGCTGATGCGTCGTATCAATTCTTGACGGCCCTCTTGACCCCCCTGAAACACAAACCCTAAACCCTAAACCCTAAACCCTAAACCCTAAACCCTAAACCCTAAACCCTGAGGAAGCTGCAAAGGAGAGGCTTAGGGTTTATAACAACGTACTTTTGTTAATGCGTGTAAAAGAAGTGCAAGCGATTGGAACTCAGCCTCATGAAGCACCTGCAAAACCCTAAACCCTAAACCCTAAACCCTAAACCCTTCTACAGGTGCACTGTACAGCAGCAGCAGCAACAGCAGCATCAGCAGCAAGGACGAAAGCAGCATTAGCAGCAGCAGCAACAACAACAACAGCAGCAAAACCAGGAGCACCAGCAGCAGGTAGCAACACCAGACTTCTATAGGAGGTTTAGGGTTTAGGGTTTAGGGTTTAGGGTTTACGTGTTGCGCCCTATCAAATACAAGCGGCAGCAAAGGAGATTCAAATTGATGAAGCCTGATTAAACCGTGCGCGAGCAGAGATAAAGTCTTCGCATCCGCTTCTTCCAGATCCACCTGAACTCCAAACCCTAAACCCTAAACCCTAAACCCTAAACCCTAGACCCTAAACCCTAAACCCTAGAACACCCTAAACCCTGAACCCTAAACCCTTAATTCCGCATTTATAGGAGACCCGATTGGGGAGTGAGGTGTCTAAGAGTCTGGGTGAGAAGTAGGGTTTAGGGTTTAGGGTTTAGGGTTTAGGGTTTACGTGTTGCAGGTGGCGCATGAAGGGTTTATGCAGTATATTTGCTTTGGCTAGGGTTGAGAAGAAGTGCACAAGGAATTGAGTATCTGCTTTTGTGTGTTTGCTCGTTTGCTGCTGCAGCTGCTGCAGCTGCTGCAGCTGTTGCTGCTGTTGCTGCTGCTGCTGTTGCTGCTGCTGCTGCTGCTGCTGCTGCTGCTGCATTTCTTCTTTTGCTGCTGCATGCAGCGCCTTGGTTTGGGGCTTTAAAGACAAACAAACCTCATCCGCAATAAAAATCAAAAGGTGTATCAGCGCATTCTTTTCTTCTGCTTCTTTCTTCTCTTTTATTGCTTCCCCGTTGCTGCTGCTGCTGCTGCTGCTGCTGCTGCTGCTGCTGCTGCTGTTGCTGCCGCTGTTGCTGCATGCGATAGCAGCAGCAACAACCCGGGCGACCCCAAGCAGCATAGGGGTTTGCATGTGGTGTATATACAGCGGAGCTTTATTAATTAAAAAATAAAATAAACAACACTGGTAGAGAGACAAGCGAGACAGACATGTCAGCAAAACAAAAAGTAAAGAAGCACATACCTCTATCTCTTTTAAACTCAGCAGCACGCATCTTGCTGCTCCTTCTACTGCTTCCTTTGCTGCTGCTGCTGCTGCTGCTGCTGTGGAGGCTGCGGAGGCTGCGGAGGCTGCGGAGGCTGCGGAGGCTGCGGCTGTGGCTGCTGCTTCCTTTGCTGCTGGTGCTGCTGCTTCCTGTGCTGCTGCAGCTTCTGCTCCTGCTGCAGATGCTGCTGGAGATGCAGAAGCAGCAGCAGCAGCAGCAGCAGCAGAAACCATGTGCAGCAGTGCGGGGTCTGTTGCTGCCTGGAGGCAGCGGCTAAGAAGGAGACAGTTAGACGTCTCACCCATTTGCTGCTGCTGCAGCTGCTGCTGCTGCAGCTGCTGCAGCAGCCGCACCACAATGAGATAGTCGACCTTGAGAAGTGATGCTGCTGCTGCTGCTGCTGCTGCTGCAGTTGGGGATTCCGCCGTTGCTGCTGCTTCTGCTGCTGCTGCTACTGCTGCTGTTGTTGTGGGCTCTACTCTTGCGCGCTGCTGCTGCTGCTGCCGCTGCTGCTGCTGCTGCCGCTGCTGCAGCTGCTGCAGCAGCAGCAGCAACTGGCCTCGTATCTGCATTTCTCTTAGTGCTGCTAGCAGCGTATGCATTCCAAGCTGCTGCCGTTTTGCTGCTGCTCTCAGCAGCAGCAAACCCCCTACCTCAGCATACACCCGAAGGCGCTGCAGCTGCTGCGGAGATAGCAACCAAGAGACATTGACAGGCACCTCTCCTGCTGCTGCTGCTGCTGCTGCTGTTGCTGCTGCTGCTGCTGCTGCTGCTGCTGCTTGCCAGGACTTGAGGGCAGGCCGCAGCAGCTCTTGTCTTGCAGTTAGAATTAATGCTGCTTCTGCTGCACCTAGCTGCTGCTGCAATGCGCATGAGCTCAGCTTCTTATCAACTTCCCATAGTGCTGCTGCTGCTGCTGCTGCTGCTGCTGCTGCTGTTGCTGCAGGCGCTGCTGCTGCTGCTGCTGCTTTCTGTGCCTGCCGCAGCCGCAGCACGTGCTGCAGTGCAGCAGCAATAAGAGTCTCCTTCTCTCCTCTGAATGCATGCAAAGCTTCAGCAAACTGAGGCAGCAAGCCAGTAGGAGCAGCAGCAGGAGCAGCAGCAGCAGCAGCAGCAGCAGGGTGTGAGGGAGAGGAAGCAGCAGCAGCAGCAGCAGATGCTGCTGCTGCTGCCTCTTCGTATACACCTGCTAAATCTAAAGGGACAGAGTGCAGCAGCAGCTGATGTCTCTGTCTCTCTCGTTTGCTGCAGGGGCGCTGCAGCAAACCAAACCCCTTAGCAGCAGGCGAAACTAAAAAGTATGAATCAGAGACAGAAGACAAACAACGCCGACCTGCGGCTGCTGCTGCTGCTGCTGCTGCTGGCGCTGTACGATACTCCAGCTGAGCATCCCGGTGC